CACAAATTATCTCAGTGTTCCCTACACCTCCTGGTGAAACAACCTACCCAACAAAGGTACTGAAATACCCCTACTGCCTCGCTCATCTCGTTCAACTTTAATAATTTATTAGTTACAGAACACCACCATTTAGTTAGAAATTTTTCTTCCTGCAGCAAAATAAAGTTCAGCTGCAGTGCTTTGAATCAAAGAGAAGTTAACAGCTTTCCACTGTGAAAGCAAGAGACTTATTTGAAAACTGTATTCAGCACTTTCAACTTATGTTGAAAATAAAATCAAAGTGGAGGAAAAAAAAAAAAAAGGCTTACGCAAAAATTGTCATTAATTCATTTACTCATACAGCCCTTGAGCATAGCTGGCAACAAGAAGATGCATTACCGCAACACACTCTTCAGGAAAAGACTTTTTTCAGATTCTTTTGGGAAATTCAAAAAAATTTCATTGAATGATTACATCTTTTCAAAGTCCTGAAAAAGCTCTGTCGGTATTATAAATCACCAGCAGTGTGACCTAGAAGAGAGACAACAGCTTTGCAAGCAGACAGCTACCTAAAACCAGTTCACAACAGTTTTGAATCTTAATGTTGGTGGTATTTTCCCATCCTTGAGAAACGCAGTGTTCTTTGTGAACATGCACTTACCTGTGGTAATTACTCCTGGGCAGGTTTGAGGGACTAAATTATCAGTTCCACTGAAATACTGCTCAACTGCTAACAGAGCATGCCATGTGCTCCTAGTTTGAGAATAAACAGAGCTAAAATTCCGCAGAGAAGAACTAGAGATGTGCTGTCACTGAAACCCGACCACCACTGCCATAAACCAAACACATTCCCAAAATGTCAGCATTTAACACACAACAGCCAGCCCCTAAGGAGAAGTGTCTTGCCTGATACTTCCTTAAGATCCAAGCAGTCTAGATAAAATAAGCAAAATTTTAAATTCTGTTAGGGATATCAGCTTGACACCAAAGAAAGAGCTGGCCTTTATTTTCATTCATTAAGAACAGAGAAAACACTAAAAACATCTCAAATGAAAATTTAAATGTAACATCAGATTTCAATATTAATTTACTGTTTATTCATCTTCAAAGTCCTTTAGCTTACTGATTGCATTCCAAGCATGACTGGGCAAAATAAGAGCTTTAACATAAAATTACTTTCTAATTCAAGGTTCAGAGGAATTGGAAATACAAGCATGCAGTAAAAGCACATGCAGTAAGAGTGCCTTACAGTTCTTCAGTCTGGTCACTTAGAAATAGTAACGGCCTGAATTTATGCTACTAAGTAAAACAAACCGAAGTCTACACTTCTGATGTGAACGTGGCAGCTGTGACAAATCCTAGGGCGGAGGCATAAAGTCAAAGGCATGCATTAATCTTATGGAAATTGAGATCTTAAAGAAACAACCTTGACTGGGGCAACTTGAAAAGAACCACAATGAGCAGAGTGAGGTGCAATTTTTATTTTTTAACTTGACAGCTAGTGAGGCAATTGTCTTTGGGCCCATCTGAGTTGAGGGAAGCAATTCGTTCACCAAGTGAAAAAAGGAACTAAGTGTTACCTGATTAGAATTTTAATGCTACTGAGCAGAAATGTGATGAGAATAATGTGCACACTAAGTTTTACTCCCTGTGTTGAATTCTTTAAAACATTATCCAGTATTTTCTTGCCACTAAAAGCCAAAAAGTAATTCTGCTGGCGATCCACAGACTTTCTTGAGAGGGGGAAATCACCACTATCAGATTTATATAGTGATTTTAGAGTTCTATACAGCAGGTAACCAAGAAACAAACGCAATCCACTGTATTATAACCCATCAACTAATATTTCTTACTTCAGCAGTGCAGAAACACGGCTACATGCATATAAAAGTTCTTAAAGTTGTTTCTTACCTTCTGAGGCTGTCCTTCTTCTCCTCTCGTGTCAAGCAGCTGTCCAGATGTTTGTTTATATACTGCTCTGGTATAGTAACCTCACAAACAGGACATTCCACTGAAAGCAAGGGAGAAGCAATTCACTGGCGTGTACGTTACAGCAACGAGCAAATGTTTTTTGTCTGAGAAACCAACTGTTGATTGAAGAAAATGAAAATCCAGAACTTCAGACTTCTTTTTTAAGAGATCTGGCATGTCCATCCAGAATATTCATTGTTCACTCCATAACACTTATTTCTCTCTCTACGTAATATCAGAATGGCTCTCATCTTCCCTGCAGTCAGATGTAATGAAATCTCTAATAAAAATCCAGAATAGCATACGTACTACACGGAAACCTAGGGGCTAACATAAACATAAGCATATTTCCATGTAATGTCTTTCACTTTTGCAGTATTCTGCTCCCAAAGAAAGGAAGCTGCTTTATTTTGATAAAAGTGTAGCACAGGCTTTATTCCTGTCAACATGATGCTCCCAGTCCATGGCTCTCACCAGGACTGTCAACACCCGAGTTAACTCATCCTCACAGGAACCCTGCCACCCAACCATGCCTTGTACTCAGTTCTCAGGACAGATAACTAGATTTTGTGACTTGGGCTCAGGGGCCCGCAAATGCCCCATAGCACAGTCCCACCCAACTCGGAATTCTTCTTGCATCATATTTTCAAGAAGCACCCATAAACATTACCTGCAAAGACAGTCAAAAAACCACAGACTTAAAGTATTTGTCTTTAGCAAGCACGTTATATCAAGAACAAAACACCTGCAAAGACAGTCAAAAAACCACAGACTTTAGCAAGCATGTTATATCAAGAACAAAAGGCTAACTTTAACTGCACGGTATGAGAAAGAGATCCTTTAACTGACATCCTCTGTAATAGTACGAGGGAAGTCGGGTTTGATTTAAAAGACAAAACAAAAAACAACCTATGAAAACCATTGTGAAATGTTGTGGGAACTGAGAGAGTTATCTGGTAACACTGCTTTGCAATTCCTGACTCCCATGACATCATATTCTAGTCAAAGGTTAAAAAAAAAGAAAAGAGAAAAAAAAAAGTTGAGACAGTAACACTAACACCATAGCTCTGAGCAGTCTGTTAGTGTAGTGGAAGTTAACATTTCAATTCGTACCACAGAAACAAAGAATAGTTACTGAAACCATCTCAGTGTTGCCTCATTTCGAGTCTTTCATTTATATTGTTTGACCAGCTACTTTGCATTTGTGGAAATAATCTCCATATAATGCAAGCTCGAGGATTTAATAAGGTCATAAAATGGTAAGCAAGTGAAAATTTCAATTGCTCAAGAATAAATGAGAGGTAAAATTTAAATTACTAACTCAGGCAAGCCTGATGCATAAAAACGGGAAACATAACTTCTGGCTAAGTTGATGCCATTTTCACATGGCTATGTTTCAGCTGTATTACGTCTTTAAGCAGTATTTACCCAGCTAATGAATAAATATGATCTTCAGAGTTCCAACAGAATAAATTCTTAAACAGAAGAACAGGTAAATATGAACTAATAAGAATCAGTGGTTTACTCCTACATGGTCCTTTATTTTAATTCAGGCTTTCAATTGGGATTTCAATAGGATGCCTTCCATTATGTCAAAACTAAGAGGATTCTGTCATTTGATTGTAGCTGATTTGTATAAATGGGCAACTTCATGCTTCAAAATAAATTAATCTTACAACTGTAGAATTACAGAAAAATAAAGCAGATTACTTTCTTCTGGAGAGTGTATGAATAGGAATATTAACAAAACTGAAACCACAGTCATTTTGATTGTGGGTGCGCCCCTCAAATAACAAACACATTATAAAATACCTTGCTTCTGGTTACTTAAGGATATGACAGCAGAATGAATGTCAATGTTGTCTGTCTAGTCATTAAGGGGAAGGAGAAAATTACTTAATTTTTTACTGAGTATGTCTGTTGTGCAACCATTGTTTTTTAGAGTTGTTACTCAAAGCAAAGGAATCTGTAAGCATTGAACTCCATTTAATCACTTGGCATGAGCCCAAACTTCCTCATCAAGAATATGCTTGCGGCAGAGCTGTCCCACATAAGCAGTAACCTGGATGAAGCACAGTCTAGTTAAACGGGAAGCATCTGAACGTGCCAAAGCAGATCAGAACAATGCAGAGAAATGAGATGATGCCACCTACTGAAGGTGCTCTATCACATATAGCCAACCACCACCATGGACTTGGGGAAGAGAACAAGACAAAAAACAGAAATTAAGCATCTCACCTTTCTTGACTACTTTTACCACAGATGTAGAAGGCTTTTCATGACTTTCGGTGCAGTCAGGAGTCTCTTGTGATCCCCCTTCATTGTCTTTACCATCAACCTCTGCAGAACTGCTGTAAAAGTTATGGTCTTCCTCAGTTTTGAAAATCTTCTGATCTGTTCCTGCCAGGCCGTCTGCCTTTGTCAAGGTGCAAACTTTTTCCTTTCTCAAGAAACTGTCAATCACCGGCACCTCTTCTTTTATAACTGGCCAAGAAACAGGACTGGTAACGTGGCTTTTGCCAGCTGAATACCTGCTACAGGCCAATGGCGATGAAATCACTGGAGCATCCAAGACCAACCGGAACAGCTGTTGTCTAGAAGCATCCAGAAGACAACATGCAGTTAGCTGCATTGGACAGCATTAGCTTTTTCTTTGAGAAGAAACCAGAAGGAAAACAGATGGAGCTTCTCCTCCATTGCTTCCTTCCTTCCTCCCTCTCCCCCTTGCTCACACACAGCACTTTGAATTGGCTAGCCCACACAAACCAGGAGCAGGAGCACGCCAGCTGAGCGTCACCGTGCTCAACAGAATCCAAGCATTATCTTCCCGGTTTTCAAACAAAACAAATTACATTTTGCAAATGTAATAAAATGCCTCTCAAAACATCACAGCTAACACAGTAAAGAACAAAAAAGTTTTCCCCATTACTTGAAGATGGTAGATGACCATTTTCAAGTCAGAGTACTTCAAGCACTGTGTCACATAGCTGTGACAGGGGCTCCTGAAACCAGAGAGCTTAGTCGAAAGCGCTGCCATATTCCTTCTGTCCCCCCGTGCTGTGCATCTCCTTAGCACAGCTGCTCAGCGCCAGCCCAGCAACAGAACCCCACCAAGAGATAACGGCATGCGTGTCAGCTCTTGAGACGTACTGTCAGGTAACCTGAACTATTTCAGTCAGATTTCATTGATGACCGGCCAAAGAGCACAAACTCTCCATTCTTTTCTCGTATAAAATAAGGGGAAACCACAGCTGCTGTCAAGAACAGCCCACTTCAGTCTCCACCAGAACACCTACCATCCATCTATGCATGCTTTACTCCCCACTTGTACTCCCTCCCCTCCTCAGGGCTAGCAAATGTCAAGATGCAAGTTAAAGTCTCTTTTCAAAGAAATAAATTTTATTGGCAGGAACACAGTAGTAGCAGAAGGCTCATCCTCCTGTCTGTCTCATTAGTACTTCTAGCTTTGAGCTAATATGAAGAATTATAAAGTCACAGTTGTTCTACTCAGGCAATTGCATAAGATCTTAAAGACACGTTCTATTCCTACCCCCGCCCCAGGGGTTTCTGCAGAATCCTGTTTATTTTACCATGTATTTTATACAGATCGATATAAAATAAATTAAGCTACAGACTGCATTCTTGGCAGGGAGACGGCGTAGCAATGCAGCTGTCTAGCCTGCCCGCATACCTTGTGGTTCACTTTCACTCCTGTATTAGCACAGGTAGAGGGAAGGCTTTCCCAACTAACGTCACCGATGCACAAACCACACGTCCCGCTCTCGCCCACCACTACTTTGACAAGAGTCCTCCACATCCTGAGGGTCACAAAGCTCCTGACACCCAAAAGCAGCCAGAAGTGCACATGCAGTCATTAACCTTTAACGGACTGCCTCTCCAGCATCCCGTGGCCGCCTGCGCACCCCGTGCCCGCCTGCACGCCACTCCCTGCCGAGCTCCCCAGAGCTGCCCAGGGGCTGCTTAGCTTTCTCCCAGCTGCCATGCTCACAATCACCTGCCAAGCCCCAGCCTGCTGCATCGTCACAAGTCCTACCCAAATAATAGGGAAATTGCAAAAAAAATTTTTTACCATCTACAAGCTGTGAGAAACTGGGACAAGTTACAAAAAATGGAAAATCTTAAAGGAAGGGCAGCATCTCTCTAACAACAAATGGAGGAGATGGGTTCACCTCAATGAGATTCTTTGTCCCCACTTGCTAAGTGGGGTAGGGAGGACCTTCCTCTCACCTCTCTTTATGGCAGGATAACACAAGCAGGATGGACAGGAACAGCTTTTGAGGATGCTGAGGAGTCTAAGAGCCTCTACACAGAAGGGCACGCTGCACCTCCCAGGCCCCGGTGCCTCCTCCTCTCCGATTCACACTGCAGTACTTGCCGTCGCTGCAGCCACCGCAGAGCCGCAGGCCCAGAGCTCTGCGCTGGGGGCACAGCGCAACAAGGATGGCGTTAGCTTCTGCCCGGAGACAAGCCCCGTGCACTAATTACAGCTGCACAAGATGCTCCACACCCCTCAGACAGGAATGCATGGCCCCAAAAGACCACAAACAATCTGTAACACCTGAGAGTCCTCCTCCTTCCCATCTGTAACACATTAACTTTTTCAAGCACTAGGATTTTTAGTGCTGCCATTGCTCTGCAAGTGCCTGCTCTTTACTGAAACGCCAGGGCTTTACAGCTTCGATTGTGACACAGTTCACCACACCTGAGGTGACAAAGCCTGTGAAAGCTGTGGGTCCTCAACATACAGAGTTTTTAACTCAGGAAGAATAAATAACAGTTGAAATAATTTGAATTTCTATTCCTTTTCTGTAAAAAAAGTTAAATAAAATAAATTATTTCTTACAGCACTTCCAAGAAGACACAAGGCCCAGAAGAAGTCTGAAATGCAGCTATGCTCTCAGATTTTAGAGTTGAAGACACTTCAGTATCAGCTAACTACTTAGAAAACTTTTCAGTCTTTTAAGGTGAAGATTTTTCATATCTAAGAGAACAACTAAATAAGAACTGCCTGTACATATACCATTTAAAAACAAGTTCATCCAAGTTACCAGGTAGCCCCACAATTATACCAGTTTAAGAGAAGTTCCTGGTGAACCACCACCAGCTCGGCACACCCAACGCTCTGCCACGGTTGTATTCAAGGCGGATTCAGAAGCCCAATTTGGAGTTTCAGTTTCCTGGATTACCGGGTGTAATGGCCACATCTGCCCGTGGCGACTCACATCTGTCCCAAGACCTTCTGCAGTGCAAACAAGTGCAATTAAGCATGGCAGCAAAACCATGTTTTTCTGTCCGCCTCACGCCTAGATATGGACTGGAAGTTTTGAAGAAGGTTAATTCCCCAACCTTCTGCAGTGCAAACAAGTGCAATTAAGCGTGGCAGCATAACCATGTTTTTCTGTCCGCTCATGCCTAGATATGGACTGGAAGTTTCGAAGGAGGTTAATTCCCCGGCTGACACAGACACAGAGCGGTCTAGCTACTGTTGGTGCAGGATCAACTCCACGGGGAGCTCAGGAGCTACTGAACGGGAACACACCGAGTGCCCTCACGCAGCCCCAGCCCACTCCTGCTTCACCTTCGCTGGTTACACGGGGTATTTTTCATTCGGAAGTATCAGCGTATCGCTGCTCAACACCGCCATCAGCAGCAATAATTGGCAGACAAAGTATCTCAATTTACTGCAGATAAATGCACGGTATTCTTCAACTTCAAACTATCACCTCAGAGACTTGTCACATCACAGATGGTTATATTCTACAATCAGGTTCCAAAGCAAACAAATTAGTTGCCTTTTATTCCTAACATACTCAGGCAAAGTTTAATCCTCAAAAGGATGCAGCTGGGTGTTCTACCAATTATGCACTGTTTGTTTGAGGTTTTTTTTTCCCCCTCCCTTTTTCAAACGAGGTATTTATCTTTTGGTCATGCAAAACCCATCTATTTTTTCAGACTCCCCCAGGTTTTCATAGAGGCAGCCTACCATTAACGTAGCTAATCAAAGTCAACACACCTCTTATCACAGTTTTCTTTTGGCTGTTAAGCGACCATTTTTACACAAAAGCCCGGCATCCTATGCTATAGCAAGCTAAATTCTGCATGGTTCAGATAACACAAAATGGAGCCGTAAACACAATCATTCAGCATCACATCACAGTTTAGTCTCCCCATAAAATAAAGAACAATACAGCCCCAAAAGGCAAAAATATCTGAACAATTAGCCAGCTGCCTACATTCATTGCCTTCATCTAGAGAACACAACTCATCTCCCTCATCTTTCCCATGTATTTTCTATTGCTTTTGAGAGCTCCTCCTCTTGCCAAAGTAACACATTCCACTATTTGTAACCACCAACTACGTCTGTTTATTTTTCCTAACATGCATTCACTAGCTAAAATGTATTTCCCAATGTGTTCACGCTAGCTGACAACGCTCCTCTGAAATTCAAACATCCCATCAGTTTATCTTTTCACCAGGCTTCAGAGCGATTCACGTGTCTTTTTCTCAACATTTCCTTCTCAGGAAATATCATAATAGTACAGCTATAGTACCTCGAATTCTGCGAAGCAGAGACTTTAGCGGTCTGATCCGTCCCTCGGGAAGGCCACAGCTCCTGGCTGGAGGTGGGCCCGGACCCGAGTCGGCTGCAGCCCCCAGCGAGGCCATTCCGACGAAGGCTGGAGGGAGGAAGGCAGCTCCGTGGCCAGCAGAAGCAGGTGGCAGACACCCAGCAAAAGGCTCAGAGTGCAAAGTGCGGCATTTTGGCAATGTGTCCTGTACGAAAGGATAGGCTTCTGAACTCAATAAAATATGATCTGGTATAAAACCAAGAGAGAGAAAGAGACTGGGAAAAAAATAATACAAAATCTATCCTAACAATAACTTGATAATAAAAGTTGCTGTAATTAAACCATTGGTTTACAAATAAACACACAGAGGTTTTCCTCATATTGAGTGATAAAGACTTATGGATAGACTTTCCGAAGGGATCTGATTTTGGCACATAATCAATGGAAAGAAGACTAGGATGAGAATATGAAAACTTGTTTGCCAAAACATACGTGAAATATCTGTATACTTTTTGGTGGGAAAACACAGAAAATGCTAGTAGAAAAATTCAAAAGAGGAGAGCAAAGTCCCAGGCTGTTTCTCCCCCGACGGCGGTATTTTGGGCATGCTGACCAGCTTCGCCGGCCGTGCAATGACATCTAGTGGCCCTGCCGGACCTGCGCCCCAAGCCCCAGCACCCCAAACCCTGGCACCCCAGGGATGGAAGAGCCAAGGAGCACTGTGGGCACTCCTCGCACTGCCCAGGGCTCTCCAACAGCACCTTTATCAGCTGCCATTCCCCTCCCTCAACGCCAGAGCTAATTACTCAAATTCCTCATTATTCACAGAAATTCTGATAGTTGTTACTGCAGTGATCCGGACAAGCACGACTAGACTGGAAGACTCATCCATCATTCAGAGATGGACAGCGGAGTCGAGAGAAAGCATGCCGTTGATGGAGAAGTCCAGCCTCTACTGTCCACTACCAGCTACCCACTACCTCCTGCCCAGCTCACCCGCAAACCGACTGATTCTCGTGGTAAACCTCAGGACAACACCATTTTCAAGCAGCTCTGCGTTTTGCATGCAGCTTTTAACTTTATCTATTATACTCTTACAAACTGAACTCAGACTACTATCAGTTCTGAAAGGTTTTAGCAGATACAGTTTTACCTTCCTGGCACACAAGCAGTAAACGTGTCACAGCTAACAAACCTCAGCTGAGGAGCACAGCCCATTAAATGCTGAAAGATCAATCAACAAGATGCTAGTGAGTCCTAATCTGCGCTGTTATAGCCACCACCCAAATCCTCCCCTGAGACCCATCCACTTTCATCGCTGGTGAGGGTTAGGACGGGGAGTTACACCTCTTAGTTTTACTAAAAACAGACTGTCATCTTAATGCGCTGTATTCAGCATACTCTCTGCCAGGCATGCTTTAACAACAGCATAAACATCTTGGGATTTTTTTTTTTCTTCAGATCTGCAAGACCCGCAAAAAAAAATAAAAAAATTCAGTGTTGTCCTCCATCAAGATCCTGGTTCCCATTTTATGGTCCATTTACTTCTCCCTTGCCGAAGCAGCTATGAAGCAGAGAAAGTAGGTGGGAAATCTAGTGCTTCCACAGAAATAAATTCCGGGCAAGAGATGGGCTTGTGAATCTTCCTAGGAACAGCTCACACAGGACAGCGCTAACTGTACTAAAGGACAGTTTCTCTCCTTGAAATTCCTTCTGCGCTCCTCCTGGAAGTTTAATCAGTGTATTAGAAATGACAGTACCTGCTCTCTCAAGCACTCGGAGTGGATGTGTTTATTCCTCTGACTCACTAGCTGTCAAGTAACCCTGATTAGGAAAGTAAGATATAAACTTGAAAGCAAAAATGTATTTTTCTTCCCTATGTATGAAAAAAAGCACAGATCATTTTCAGTAAGGACTAGTTTTCTACTTATGCAAGTATATTTCTAATTTCTGTTACTGAATTTTCTAACTAGGTGATGCAGAAACTGACCGTTTTCACCAAAAAAATCTCTTTATTAGAGGACAATGAAATTAATGTCAAAACAAGGCCAGGTTGGATGGGGCTTTGGGCACCCTGGGCTAGCGGAGAGTGTCCCTGCCCATGGCAGGAGGGGTGGAACTAGATGGGCTTTAAGGTCCCTTCCAACCCAAACCAGTCTGGGATTGGAAGCGAACCCCAAAACTTTATGCATTATTTTTGAAGACACTAGCCTCACTGCAACTGATATAAATATTGTTCATAAAGGAAAGATGGCGCACACAGCTCTCCTGGCCTGGTCAGTGATGAATTCTGCCCACCAAGCACAGCACAAGCAGCAGCGAGCAAGCTGAGCAAGGGTTGCTCTCGCCCTGACAGCAGCCTGTGGCGTAGCGGATCAGAGCAATGCACTCCCTTACTCACTCGCTGCTCAGGGTCTTTGTGTGCACCTGAACACCAGGGCAGGCAACGTGAATTCACACCTATTAAAGGCTCCTCAAGCTCCTCTACCTTTTCACACAGAATATAATGCTAATGAGCCATAATGAATGACACATCTTCACTTTTACTGGGAAACAGAGTCCACCACTTCTACAGGGAGAAAGCAGGACTCCCAAGACGACGCTCACCGAGCACAAATGCTCACAAAGGCCCTAATTCTGCAAACACTTGTGCACCAGCTAAATGTTGAGCAGACATATAAATGGGATCAGCACTCAGGTCTATTTACAATGATTTCCATTCCATGCACACACTGACCTTGGAGTGCAGCTTTCACTTTGCTAAGTACTACCAATTCCCTACAGGCCTGACTTAAGAAATGTGTTTGCATTTTGTGAAATACTGAAAAGATTTAAGGCCTAATTTTCATAAGCGCTAAACTACCTGAGGCTCTAAGTCAAGTCAGGATGGACTTGAAGAGCTCAGCACATTTCAAAAATCAACGCCTGGTCTTGGGATTTGTTTTGGGGAGGGCCAAAAGGAAACAAAGCAGATGGGGAAGGAGGTGAGGAGAGAGAAGATTTGTCCTGTACCAACATCGCCAGCGCAGAAACCAACAATGCTCTTATGATTTCACAATACTTGTATCACATAACACTCTCCAAGCAAGTAACGTTCCCCTCGAACTCAGGGCCAACTGCAGAGCAAATGCAATCCCAGGCTGAGAGAAGCACGAACGCGGTGTGCCCAGCAACTGAAGCGATATGCTTCGGATTTATTCAATATCTATATTCCTCTTACGAGTCTGTCTTATTAAAGCAGTTATCTTAGCAAGCCATTTGTTGTTGGGCCGTTCTTATCAGATCCAGAAAGAATCCTGCACTGGCTCCCTCCCACCGCACCCCCTGGCTGGTGCAGAGCAGGGGACTACATTTTTTGTCTTATTGATCTGACTTTATGTTGAGAAATTGATTGAACTCCAAGTCACAAAAGGAAAAATTATTAAACTATTCTGACTGGCAAAATTTATACTGATCCATTAAAGTAGTCGAAAAATTAACATTTAAGATTCAATATCATAATGGATCCAGGTCAGCACTACTTGTTCTCTACAAAATTAGGCATTACCAAAAAAAAAAAAAAAAGTAATCCATTTATCACTAGGAAACACCAAAGACAGAGTTCAAGCTATAATAATGGAACTGTAGAATTTCAATTCTTCAAATAATCAGTTCAATCTAACAGCAGACATACTGAAGATTAGATCTTCATCACAGAGAAACTCTCTCAAGAGACAAAGCCATAAACTGAACTATGCTTCCTAGCACTTATGAAGCCAAGTTTCTCATTGACTTCAAGCTCCAACTTCATTTCAGAGAAAAAGATGATAGTGTATTTGTCTCCTAGAGACATTGGAATACCTACAAAATAACTAGAAATCACTGAACTAGTTCAAATCAAAAGAAAACAGAAAGATAATACAAGAAGTCTCATATATCTACTGTGGTAAGTGTTTACCAAGTCATGCTTATTCTGTTGTTCCTGTCTTTCACAGGGGTGAGGAGATCAAAGAAAAAAAATATTAAAAACAAAAAGTCAGTAAGAAATCTAGGTGAAAGCACAACACTCCACTACTACTCTTATCCAGGAAAACTCATATTTGTAGCCCCTCAATACCTACATTTTTCCCATCTAATGACTTCACCAAGAGAATTCTCTTGCAAGTTGACCATTACCACTGGACAAAGTCTTTCTGTTCAGAATTTCCCCTGCACACATAGAAAAGATCTTAGAAGAAAATCTTTATTACCATTATTTTCCCTGTAGAATCCTGACACTTCTGCTTGACTTCCTACATATTGGAAGAGACTCTAACCTGCACAGCAGCTAACCAGAAGCAAAACCAGAATAAGCTTACACAACCTCCACATATCACCTGAGCGGACAGTAACCTTCAGCCAAAAAAACCTGTAGGATTCTTCCAAAAGCATAAACATTCATCTTTGACAACACTTCTGCGATACCACAATTTTTTCACTCAGTCCTCACACTGCTGCTCACCCTGCTCCTCTACAAGGACCCCTAGTTTGGTCACACAACGTAAGTCACACCCGCCTTTCCAGCTGCCAAACCAGAAAGAGTAGTCATAAAATTACAGAATACCTTGCAGAATTAAAGCTCTTCACTAGTTCATCTAATGTCCGGTTATTTTTCAGGTCAGATTCTGAGACAGCCTATTAAAAAAAAGAAAGAAAGAAAAGGGAAAAAAAAAAACAACAGACATTCAAATGCAGTGAAAACAACAAGTACCTAGAAAATGTTGAAGTGATCAATAATTTGTTTCTTGGATCAATGCCCTCACCTCCCCCCCCCCCCGCTAAATTGCTATGTGAATGCAGATGCATAACGTGTTAACATTTATTTCCTGAAAAATATCTCAAATGAAAATAGCTGCCTGAGAACTTAAGTCTGGAAAATGACAGGTAATAGGTAAAAATGAAGCATAAAGTTAAAGCAACAAAATCCAGTGTACCCAGTCTCCAACAATGCTTTGTTGTAGCCCAGTTCTAATTATTTTGAAAACCAAACCAAGGATCCCATGAATGTGATAAGAACCTTGAAAAACAAGGCATGAAAACCGATGAAGGGAAGTGTTAATCTTCTGATTATGAAATGAAAAATATGAATTATGATATGGCTTTGTGCATTCAATTAATTCTTTTTAAACGATTTCTGATTTTATCTCTCCGGCTGTCTGTCTCCGCGTTTTTTTTTTTTTTTTTTTTTTTAACAAAGCTTTTATTAATCTTGCTCATATTGATACCTGTGATTTTCAAGGTGGTAGTAAAATATACTCCATCAAATAGCCTGCACTTTTTGAGTGTTTAAAAACTGGCAAAGCTACAAATAGATCTGTTTTCCAGACTTGAAAAGTTGAGTCTGGTTCATGCTTTAGAAATACAGAAGAAAATTACTTCTATTTTGCCAATATTCCTGAAGCGCCATTCATTGTTTTTAGGCAGCCTACCATTTTTAGGAGTTCAATAAAGTCCAATTGGCTTAAGATGAAAAGTTAGATTAAGGCCTAGAATAAATTGCATTCTGTGTTCTTTAATCAAAAAAGGCCTTCAAGTCAGATCATAATAATCACCCACCTGCAGAGCAGGCTGAACCTGCCTCTAGTGCTTTTCACATTTAACCTAATTCTCATGGCAAATACCTCCTCTCCCTGGTGCATAACATAGTCCTCTCATCCCCGGAAAGGCTACACAGCCAAGTCAGTGAGGTTTAGGTCTAGGTGCTCTGTAGACACTTCTAACGTCCTCAAAAGATGGACTAAGGCCACTCAATCACAGAAAATTTAAGTGCTTCAATTTCAGCACTCATATTTGAAATGACAGTGTATTTTAACAAATTAGGAGACAACATTAAATGTTTCACGACAGATTGTATACACAGATGTGAGCCAAAACCCAGGTTTGATGTTCCACCTACTTCTGCCTATGTTGGCAGACGAGTAGCTCTGAAACAGGAGAATTCCACTTCGAAAAGCACCACACGTTGCCCACAGAGCTGCTCACCTAAAGGAAAGGTGGTAAGACTTGGCCATGATTAATTACCTAGCATAGTCCAAAGGGAAAAGCTCCAGAGATTTGCCAAAAAATAAATAAAAAACAAGCTGAGGAAAACTAAAACACTTACCACACAGCATGCTGGACACTGAGTTTTGTAGGACAAAAACTTGCGTATACAAAGGGAACAATCTGGAGAAAGGAAATACATAGTTTGTAAACAGGCGTTCTTCCAAATGCAGTTCAGCATCCTTACTAGTATATTTTCTTTTTGTACAATATATGCAAACTATTCCATGATACACCAATATTGAAAATGCACCATGTTTCCACAGAGTTAAGATTACCATTGTAGCAAAAAATACATATTTTATGCAAGTATCTTTCAACATTTAATCTCAGTCCCTCTGTCAAAAGCAGATGTTTACTTTTGTTTCTTTAACACAAGACAAGGAAACTTTAGTCTGCTACCATCACTAAAAGCAGTGTCTGCACTGCTTACTCCTCCATCACCACTTTATTTTTTTATTTTTTTTTTACACGACTAATGTTGGATCACATTCATCTTCCTGCAGAGCCCCAGACAAACTCTCTATCCTCTCTTTTTCCCAGCTGTTTCTTCTCCTTTCCAAAACAATACCAAGCTGTTGTTGAGAGGAAAGGCTAAAAAGGATGGGAAACAGCACCGGAACACTAAGAGACGGCATAAATGTTTCCCAGGAAAAGCAAGTCGTATCACCATCACAGGATGTGTCAACAGACTGGAGAAATATGGTGTAAGCTTCATTTTGTTGCAGTAAATTCCTGAAATTATTCTACTTTCTCTACTTATCTATGAGCTTTCACAGCCACTTCAGGCTGTAAAAAGTTTCACCACTCTCCAGCAAAACAGACGTTCACTTACTGGATCACTGCTGGTCGGAGTCTCAGCACTTTGCACACTTAGCGACAGCTACCTAAGCAGACGTATTCAGATCCTCTCAGAAGGAGTCTGAAAAGTAGCAGGAGCATTAATGCTCTAATTCAACACTTAAAACCGCACATCCATCTAAACACTCCAAAATTACATTATATGCTAAGATGTGATATGGGGGGGAGGAATCCATATAAAAAAGAAATAAACTTTAGCTGAATGGATATGAATCAGCTTATAGATCTAGCTTGCCAACATCCCACAACCAGTCACCTCCAGCGAGCAATGGGACTGACCTATTGCAACCATCACTGCTCACAGCCAGGGGAGCTGAGCACGTCTGAGGACAGCAAACGACATTAACTCTTAGTCTTAACACCTGTGCCTAGGGCTGGCTCTGGGTACATGCACAGAAGACAACGGCCTCACAATTCTCTGTGCCCAGTCCCTTCTCTCCCACTTGCCTCCTCTTCCTACGGGAGAAATAGCCACGGCCCAGGTCTCAGCCTGCCACTCCTGGGGTAACAAAGCAAGTCTCCATCTACTGTACGTGGCACATACACCGAGAATTAAATGGTGCCGCAATGGTCACTTCCATCTGCACCGACAGACCAAACCTGCCTGTAAAACCACATCTACCAAACTCATTATAAGATTCAGCCACAGCACTGTATTTCAGCATACAGAGGAGAATCCTAATGTATGAATTTAATCTGACAACCATCACGGGATGCTTAATGGCAATGACAGAGTGGAAGTGTGCAAGTTACTGCCAGCAAAAAACAGTCTCCAAGTTTAAACTGGAAGTAGCGAGGTTGTGAGAAAAAAGAGGAATAAAACAAGCCTGGCAGGAGAAGAGTCAGTAATGCCACAATTTACACACCACACATCGAAGACCATAGGTGTTTTTTAAGTGAGCAAGCAATTCTGAAGTCTGCTTAGCTGGAAGTACAGCAGTAATTTCAATACAAATTTAAAGAAAGGAAAATACTGGATTACAAGAAAGAGCTCCCTCCAACAGCTTATAGTTCCCCTGCTCACCTTCCAAGCTACGCTGGCCCCAGGCCAGGGCTGCACGGCCACACTGCAACCGAGCTCTGCTGGGGATAAAGGCTCCGACTTCGGCACGCTGCCGATTCACTGGGGCCAGCGGCTGGTCCCAGCACCAGCTCCATCCCTTGCTGGGGGGCAGCACCCCGACGTGGCAGAACGCAGAGCTGAGAAACCCTCAACCACGGCCAGCCACCAGCCCCTGGCTGGTTCCAGCTGCCCAGACTCCCCAGGAGAGCAGCACGTTCTAACAACCCGGTGCCAGCGCTCACACCCGCTGGGCAGCAAGAAACGGCGCTGGCAGCGATAACCTCTTACACCACCTCGGCTTGAATAGACTCAGTTGGTCATCTTGGACTGAAAGCTTAAGAAATCTCAGGGGCACAATTTACTCTGCCCTTGGTGAGATGTCCGTATTACAGAAGATGTCCGTCTTCAGACACTTTTATTATGTGAAAGAAATATGAATGGCACATCTTTTCTGTCACTAAAGATACAATCCAAAGCACTGCGGAAGTTAACTACTGTCAAGAGAGCTACTGAATGCTCTCAAGTCACCCAAGAACAAGCAGAGGAGGAATTTTAAGTGGCTATAGGTAGAAACAGATTATAGAGATGTCTAGAAGCCCTGTAATAGATCATTAAGAAAAAGAGAAACAAAACAATTTTGTAAGCAAATGTATTTCATTTTCATCTGTTCACAAATGTTTTCATCTATTCACAAATAATTACTCAAAGAAGCTGACGGCTTTTTGCTCCAATTGTACAATCTCAGTGGACTGAAGAGATTACACAGAGACAACTGAGTAGAAAATACTTCAGGAAATCTTAGGCTTGCTGCAATTTACAGGGGGAAATTCGATGTGTAATCTGTGAAAAAAGGGAGACAGATTCTTGTTGACGTTAAGGGCCTCTGAACCCAGCTGTGTCACAGGCAGGCTGTAACACCAGCTACCGTAGAGAATTTCCAGTGGTCCCACCATACACATGCTGTTCTCAATGGTGAGAGTTTTGCCAAGCTAAACTGAATTTAATTGCCAAACTACAACCTCCTCCTTCATGTAAGGAAGAAGTGCTACAGTTTCTGAACAAAACAATTATAAGCACTTATTTTAACGTGAGAAAAGGCAATGAACTTTCCCCTAATCTGACTTTCACCAAACCACTTTGCTAGCCTGTTCCAGCAGATTTCAGCCTGAGGCAGACAGAGCAGCACAGAAAATTTTAGCTCATAACACTTAATACTCTCTGCCATACAGTTTTGCACTTGATCCACCCTCAAGATGTTATGAAAAATATTTAAATGAAGAATTGTAGTAATAGTTGGTGTTTAAGCGCATTAATCCAGATGACATGTGTTTGCGTGGTCAGAAGGTTACAACCATAACTGCACAGGGAAAGGCTGCTGGCTGCGTCACAGCTTTCATCCAAAAGAGCTCCTCAGAGGCAAACGTCCTTGCTGGCTAAGCCACAAGTAAAAGACCTACATGTTTTCTAAAGGAAATAAAGGATCGGTAATCTTTGCTCTACATGCCAGTAAATAATAAATACTCTAATGATGACTTGTGTCTGAAGCTCTAAAGGAGAAAACTCTTTTTTGAGGACATTTGTAACAGTTTTCTGCCACTCAGCTAAGGTGCAAGAGGATTTTGCCAGCCCATAGGGCCCATTCTCCAGTTCTGCATTTCCCGGGAAAGATGTATGAAGCCCAAACCATTCACTCAAAATTTCTTTGAGTACCCCTTCTTCAGCCATACCTGTCTGCCTTAATCTGTCAACTGAACAGCAAGTCAGGCTTAAAAAGAGTCACGGGGCCAAGACACACTCCCATCAAGCCACCCCGGTACTCTCTGGAAGGTATGGCAAGGTGCACTTACATGAAATACGTCAACTCTAAATTCCACAAAACCACAGGACAGATGGAAGAACGACCTCACGCCCCTTTGTTGACTTGCCATAAATGTCCCATTTACCTTGGCTCCTACTCACTCAAGCAATTGTTATTAAGACTGCTGTTTCTGTGCGATTTTTATTAAAACTCAACTAAATTTAAACTGAAGCCACCAAGTCAATAGCGATGTATTAATTGACTCTCCATAAAACATGTTCGTCACAGGACAGGAGGCACAGATTTACAATGAAAAGGAAGTAACGGTTTTGTGTTGACCCATATGAACTTAGTTAGTTCTCCTGCCATTAGTACACAGGGCAGTAGGACGCGATGAGTCCCGCAAGAGCAAGAAATTCACAGGCCGCCCTTTCGGTGCGAGGAGTGACCGCGCTCCTACGCCGTACTTACAGTTATGCGAACACTGCGGAATGATCATCGCAATGCTGAAGTAATCGAAGCATATCCCGCACCGCAACAAGTCGTCCACTGCCTGCAATGAAAAGCCGAGGTCACCGAATAGTTCGCGGTGGGACGTCGTACACGAACGGCACGCTGGCGAGCGCGCGCCTCCAGCCACGTAGTCTTTTGCTGTACGTTTTTTGCTGTACGTTCTCACACAACACGGGTTAAGGTAAATCGCCTGCACCAGGCCGGGGCGGGATTCCACGTCGGGGCGTTACGGCCGAACCGGCGGC